TTCGTATTTTACTTTGTTCTTCTTCTTCTCATCATGCTTACGAAGCATACAATCAGATGCCATATGATTCGCCCCATTACAATAATGGCAGTCGAATCCAACATCACCTTTAAGCTTTTTCTCTTTCTTTTGCTCTTTATCACGAACCTCCTTCTCTATTTCCTTCCTCTGATCACCTCTATTTTTCCCAACAACATTTCCTTTCACTTCACTATTTTTCATACTTGCATTGAATGGATTTTCAAAGAATTTCTTTACTCAGTTGTTAGAGTAAAATGTAATAGCCTCATCATCGAAATTTACAATCAGCCCCTCATCAACCGAACCTTCCTTCTCATTAGCTTCTTTCTCTGCTTCCCTTCCAACTACTTTCGAAACCAAAGGTAGTAGACCTCCTAAACTAATCTTCGCTTCTTTATCAATTTCAGTAACTTCGGATTCATGAGTTTTCAACAGATTGTATAGATCCTTTGACGAATAGTTATCAAACTTTGTTCAGTCTTCACCATTAAGCTCACATTTTGCCATTCCTTGCGAACTCCCATAACAAACGTCAGATTGAACTCCATAGTAGACCTGGTGATTCCATATCGACTGCACTTGTAAATTAGCTCATTCAGACGATTGTAGTACAATTCGATAGATTCACCATCTTTTTGTTTGAATTCTCTTAATTCATCCAGACAATTTTTCACTGAATTGATTTTTGTCTTTTCATTCCCTTGAAACTTTTCCTTCAATGTGTTCCAAATGTCTTTAGCAAATTTACAACTACGAATGTAATTGTAAACAACATGAGGTAGACCACCTCTGAGTTCTCTCATGCATTTCTTCTCATTCTTCACCAATTTTTTAGCAATCTCTTGGACATTTTGATTATTAAAAGAAGTTTCAATATTATGAACAGTAGGAGGTGGATGAAAATCACCGGTAATACACTTCCATAACTCTTCATCCATTCCATTCAAGTAATCTTCCATCCGATCATCCCACTGATCATAATACTCGGGTATCAGCATCAGAATTTTAGTCGATGAACCAAGGAGATGAAAATAAGACGTCATTGTGTTCATGTTGAAGTTCTCCATTAACGTACATAATTTTTTTTAGAAAACCTTGAATTTGAACAAAATTAAACAGATAAAACTTTTGATAATCACCAATCGAACATTCGAATTAGCAACTAGACCACAGAATCGACTGACAACAGTAGATCTAGAATGAATTTCTGATGCAAAAGAGAGAAAAATTGAAATCTAGAACGAGACTCAAAACAATTGCAAAAATTCAGAAAAACAGATCAATTATGTATGAATCCTGCTCTGATACCAAATGTTGTTGCAATAAAATCGAGATTGAATGACAAGATCAGAGTAAGGTATGATTAAATGACTGAGGGTGGCAATGAGGGAGATCACAATGAAATGTTAAGGTCCTTAAATAGACCCTGAAAATTAGGGTTTCACTCTGGCAGCCCTACTCGTCGAGTTGAGACTTCTCAACTCGTTTAATAGACTTCAAGTCTCGCGACCCAAAAATCCGTTTCTACTCGACGAGTTTGGGGCATCCAACTCGTCGAGTCCCTTTGCAAAAGTGAATAATTCTTATTAAAATACATACCATGAAACGGACATTACAAATTTATATGTTGTAGTTTCATATTTCTTTTTTTATGTTTACTTTTTATCACAAATTTAGTGGAACCAAGTTGGTTATTCGATGAGTGGTCACTATGCAATGAAATGAATGTTTGATTTACACAATGGTTTTCCAAATAGAGTAAGTACTTATTAAATATTTTTCTATTTTGTCTGTATCAAGAAATTATCTAAAATGTTATTATTTAGTTTTAATTTTATATTTCATATAGTTTGATATCCTTTGGAATGAAAAATCTCCCTTAGAGGAAAAGGCTTTGGTTATGACGATTGCTACATGGGCTAGAGAACTTCTGAATAATTATATGAACAATGTTGTCTAAAAGTGCATATAAGGTTAGTTGTTAATCGATATAACATTCTACTTTTAGTTTAATAATTATTTGTTTAATATATATGTTTTGAAATGTTAGAAAAAAAACTGATTATTTGTTGTGTTTGTTATTCAATGAGGATGGAAGATAGTTGTTACACTTGATTATGAGACAATCCTTCTACATTGTGATAACAAGGTAAGTTATATACAGCAAGAAATTATCAAATCAAAAACTTTTTGTGATACTTATATCAATGACTATAATGGTTAGTTATTTATCATGTCTACATTAACATAATTTGTTCATCATGGCATACTTTGTGTATTGAATATGTTGGATGCAATTTATATACTTGTGTAGGTTAATTGTAACATAGTGTATTTTTTTTATGTAAGCCTCGATAGTTATTTTAACAAAAAAAAAAAGGATCAACATTCTCTGTATGACCCGGTTATTTGAATGGAACTGATGCATATTTAATCGTTATATGACCCAGTTTGGGAATTGAAACTGGACTCTTATCTTGTTATATGACCCTATTTTATGTGATAGAACCACAACCTAATCTCCTTGTATGGTCTGATTTTGTCTTCTATAATCCTCTTATATACCCTAGCTTTATAAACAACTGTGTTATCTTCAGGTTGATAGGAGCCGGTTTTAAAACTAGGTTTTATTTCATATAACACATAGGTCTTGTCGGCTATAAGACCCGGTTGAAAAACGGGTTATTATGTTGATTTACACGGGTCCTGTAAGCCTATTTATAGTAGTAGCTACCACGACTCTTGCACAACGAAAGTGGTGGGATGGTGTGCATGATCTTGGTGGCCTTGCCACCTGGCCAATGGCGGATGTAGTGTAGAAACAATACGGTAATGGGGTCCATGGCCCCTAGTTCAAAATACGACCCATCTTATATTTTTAGGAAAAAAAATATTTAAATTTTGTAGATGTCCACCCTCTTGACGATCTTCTCTTATTTAAAACTTATGCTCTAATGAATATATTTTTACCCAATTTTAGTTTTCACCATTAGATTTTTTTTCATTTCTTATAAAAACACCATCAAAAACTCCATTTACTTTTATAACTATTAGGAAACCACCATCAGTTTGTTGCTTTCTTCCTGCTGCGTGCGGCCAATGCCAGAGGAATGCTGCTTGCGGCCATTGCCGGAGGCAGTGGCGGACGCTCTTAGAGGCCAGAGGGGGCCATGGCCTCCCGTTGAGGTTGATAATACTTTATATGTAATTATGGATATAGTTCAGTTACGAAAAAAATCATTAATATAACTAATTGGCCCCTATTGATGAGCTTACTATAATTATTTAATTAACTTATAAAATTCACTTTAAGAGACTAGAGAAAAATTAACTAAATATGCCGCAAATTATTGAAAAAATCAAAACTAACCTTTCATTTGTTAGGAAACCAAATCAACGAAGAAATTACTCTCAGACTATATAAAAACAAATAATGTTAATCTAATTTACAACTTTTTAAACTCAATTTTGAGTTCATAAAAATAGTAAACCAAAAATACTTGTTCCCGCAGTCGGAAAAAAAGATACCCAAAAGCTGTTTATAGCCACTGTCGAGCTGACTGGAAACTACACCAAGATGTTTGCCTCCTCACGCCGGTCACCGGACTACTTGCATCTAATCTCAAATCTATTGGCCGCTGCCCCTTTCCTCTCATGTTTCCTCACCACCTGAGCAACAACAAAGTTGTATGTATTCCCTCAATATTTCTCTCTCTCTCTCTCTCTCTCTCTCTCTCTCTCTCTCTCTATATATATATATATATATATATATATATATATATATATATATATATATATATATACTTCCATCGTACTCATAAATTAGATTTTTTATACCTTGAATCCTTGATTACTGTGAACATATCTACACAAAAGATATGATAATATAGACTTTTAGTCTAGAAGTTGCTGCAAATAACTAGTATTACTTTATTGAAAAGAAACATTTATTTCTAGCTTATTATTACTAACTAGTTAGTATAGTTGAAATTTTGTAAAGAAATGTTAGCACTTAGTATAGTTAGAAATTTATAACATATTTATTAAATTTGTTTATATAGTTAGAAATTTATAACATATTTATTAAATTTGTTTATATGTTTTTGTTTTAAAAGAATTTGATATAGGCCATGTAGACACTAAAATAATGACTAAGATCTCTATATATAACTACTAATGTATCAGGAACATGTAAAACTATAAGACAATCAAACAAAATAAAAAAATCATTTGCATGGTTAGAAAATTGTATTAAAAACTATATTAAATTTGTTTATATGTTTTTGTTTTGAAAATTTTATTTCGGCCCCCCTAGTTATAGCCTTTGTGTTCCGCCCCTGGCCGGAGGAATGCTAGTTGCCTGAGGGATCTCCGACCACCGTCGCCGGAAGGGGCTATTGTTAGTTATATTGTGGATCCCGATTGATATTTATTCTGGAACCGCCATTGCACCTCGTTACGAACAGGCTTGTACAATGTATCCAAAGCTTTGCTATGTATGTAAACGAGACATTATTCATGAATCTTATAAATTAATGGGATCAAAAAATGTTAAGAGGCATATAAAGATGTTCAAATTAAGTATATCAAACATTCTTGACATTATTCATGAATCTTATAAATTAATGGGATCAAAAAATGTTAAGAGGCATATAAAGATGTTCAAATTAAGTATATCAAACTACTAAATCAGATCAAATTAAAACTAGTTGTACACATCCCAATATATTTCCAGGTGTCCATTGTTATTGGTAATATTATAATAGATTATTAACTCACAAGATACAAACGGGGAGTAACTCCCGTATTAAATTACTAGAGGTACTGTTGTGGACCAACTATGCCTATTAATATATGTTCTCATGTCATTTATTATTGCCTTCTCTTCTTCTTCTTATTTTGCTTGTCCTTGTTCTTGTTCTTCTTCGTCTACACTCTCACTATTCCCCTCCCATTCAACAACATTGAGAGTGACAGGGATGGAAAAGGAAGAAAGTTTTTCATTAGAAAAAGGAGACGCCAATCTAGAGCTTGATGATGATGGAAAACCTAGAAGAACAGGTATACATATGAAAGTCTTTTGTTAATTTCTTATGCATTGTCTCTAATATATATATATATATATATATATATATATATATATATATATATATATATATATATATATATATATATATATATATATATATATATATATATATATCGTATTGTATTGGTTGTGAAGGGACATGGATAACTGCAAGTGCACATATAATAACAGCAGTCGTAGGATCAGGAGTGTTGTCACTGACATGGTGTTTAGCTCAACTGGGTTGGGTTGTTGGGACTACTTTTCTTGTAGTGTTCGCAGCCATCTCTTGGTTCACTTGCATCATGCTTGCCGACTGCTATCGATCTTCTCTTAATGGTGCTCGAAACTACAATTACATGCAAGCCGTCAAGACTAACCTTGGTAAATTTCATTTTCATTTGGGCAAATTATGCCATATTGTCTTGATTTTACCATTTTTACCGAAGTTGGTATATAATAGGCTTTCTTGATTTTTCATACCCATAAAAGTTTGGTTCCTATTAAATAAAAAAGAAACAACCTAATAATTAATGTTAAAACTTAAAATCCTTAACAAAATTTTAATTAACTTTGTTATTTTATTGCATAAATTTATATATTGTGGATTTACAAAAAACTCCTTTGGATTTGTATACCTTGAAGATTAATCTTTCACCATGTTTCGTAGGAGGGCTTAAATACAGGTTCTGTGGGATAGCTCAATACCAAACTCTTGTTGGTGTAAGTATTGGATACACCATCACTTCGTCAATCAGCATGGCGTAAGAATTACAAACCAGATTAAATGTCCTCATCCAATTTAGTAATTATGTATTTGAAATTGCTAACTTAATTTGTTTCAACAGGGCGATTAAACGATCAAACTGTTTTCATAAATACGGCCATGACAAGGAGTGTCACACATTGAACACTCAATATTTGATAATCTTTGCATGTATTGAGATCATTCTGAGCCAAATACCAGACTTCCACAAGCTGTCCTTCGTATCCATAGTCGCCACCATCATGTCTTTTGCTTATTCTAGCATTGGCATTGGTCTCTCCATTGCCAAAATTGCAGGTCATGCGTCATTCAAACCTATCTTAATTAATATCAAATAAAATTTCTGGAATGTTTGCCTGAATTGGTAATTTGTGTATTATAAAGGAGGTGCACATCCAAACACAAGCCTTTGGATACCAAGTAGGACAGATATATCAAAGATGGACCAAATGTGGAACACCTTTTGTGCCATTGGTGACATTGCTTTTGCTTATTCTTTCTGTGCAGTTCTCATTGAGATACAGGTCTCTCTCTCTCTCTCTCTCTCTCTCTCTCTCTCTCTCTCTCTCTCTCTCTCTCTCTCTCTCTCTCTCTATATATATATATATATATATATATATATATATATATATATATATATATATATATATATATATATATATATATACACACACACACACACAAAATGATAGATTTCTTTCCGAATGTAGGACACACTGAAATCAAGTCCTCCAGAAAACAAAGTCATGAAAACGGCTACAACCATTGGAATATCAGCTTCTACATCCTTCTACATGCTATGTGGGCTACTTGGATACGCTGCATTTGGCAACGACGCGCCTGGAAATTACTTGACTGGGTTTGGTTACTACGATCCTTTTTGGCTCATTGACATTGGTAACTTGTGCATTGTTATTCACCTTATTGGAGCTTATCAGGTGCCTAATCTACTTTTATTGATTAGCATATTATGTGAAGAGAAAATTGACATTTTTCAAAATATTCATTCTTTGTGACGTTTTGTAGGTGATAGTCCAACCTATTTTTGCATTTGTGGAGAATTGGAATCGTAAAAAATGGCCAGAAAGTGAGTTCGCGAACAAGAGATACACCATTGGTCGCTTCACGATCAATCCTTTCAGGTTAGTCTGGAGGACTACCTACGTGATACTAGCAACGCTGGTTGCCATGATTTTCCCATTCTTCAATGATTTTCTAGCGCTTATTGGCTCAACGACATTCTGGCCATTGTCGGTGTATTTCCCAATAGAAATGTACATTTCTCAGGCGAAGGTTCGGCGAAATTCTTTCACCTGGATTTGGTTGAGGCTACTCAGCTTCGTGTGCTTGCTTGTATCACTTCTTGCTGCTGTTGGATCTATTCGAGGCCTTGTAGTGTCAGTTAAGACCTTCAAGCTCTTTCGATCAGCATCTTAATTAGGTCTTAGTTTTTTTTTCCTTAGTGGTTTAAGAATAATGATATAACATGGTTTCACGAAAGGTTTAGAATCATGTATTATATTTCTATGACTTCAACGTGCAATTGGAATCATATCATTATATGGAAAAACATAGATACTTTAAAAGAGAAAACTGCAGCTTTTATTGGGATTTTGGTTCCTATGGTTCCAAAATTAAAAAGTCCGTCCTTAATAGCAGATTTCATCAGGGACTTTGGCTAGTAAAGATGAACCCATTATCTTAGATCCTGTAAGTTTAGAAGTGTAGGTTTACAAGTGCACGAATAAAAGAACAACAACAAATTTGAGATTACTTGGTAAACAAAAACTTTTATTGCTGGAAAATCTTAATTCAAGTTAGCCAAAACGTAGTCCCTATTTATACTAATTACGATTAAATACTAAACAAACACAAAAACTTAATAAATTTTTTCCCTAAAATACCCTTGCTTTAATATCCGATTAACCCAACAATCACCCCCTTAATCGGATTTGTCATACGAGCCACTCGTTCAAAACAACGCCGATTCCTCTTCGATTAGGCCCGCCTCTTCTTTTTCCCATTTAGGACACTCGTTGCTATAGTGACCAAGCTCACCACATTTGTAACATTTAATGTGACTTTTATTCCGTTGAAACGTTCACCATCTCGATTTTTCTCGGACCCCCGACATCTTCCCCGGCCACGTCCAAAGCCTTCCCGATTTGAACCTCTATTGCCACAATGCTTACAAACATGTGATTTTTCCTCACTAGCCAACAATAACCCACCTTGAGTGTCCTCCACTTTCTTGGTTCCTCTTATACGCTCATTGTACGCCTTCAATCTGCCAACCGCTTCATCGAATAACATTGATCAATCCAACTCGAAACATTGCTCTATTGAAGCCACAATTTGAAGAAACGACTTAGGCATTGAATCTAGTAACCTTTTTACCAAATCACCTTCTTCAAGCTCATATCCAAGACTCCTTGCTTTTGAAGCTAAACCGGATAATTTTATCACAAAATCATCAACCGTTTCATCCTCCTTCATGTGTAAACTTTCAAGCTCCCTTTTTAAGGTTGCAAGCCGAGCCATTCTCACCCGATCTACTCCCAAATACCGTGTTTTTAGCCCATCCTACACTTTCTTTGGTTCGGTGTAACTCGCCATTTGCAACACCATATCTTCGGGTATCGCTTGAAACAAAAAGGCAAGAGCTTGTTTTGACTTCTTTTGATCCGATGCTTCACCTAACGCCTTTGGTTCGATCGTCTCCCATATGCCATGTGCATCCATAATCGACTTGACTTTGACCGCCCAGACCGGATAATTTGTTTAAATCAAAACCGGAACTTGATATGTCATCGAACCTTCTTTCATCGCCATTCTTCCTTTTTCTAGCTTCAACCCTATTCTGATCAAACGTGTTCAAAGGGATCTATTCCATCCGATCAAGAAAACAAGCAACCCGCTCCACCGTCTTCTTGCACCTACAAAACAAAACAAATCCAAAGCCACCTGCTTGTTTATTCTGCACCTACCCGGTTAATCTCTTTCACCCAAACAAGCCTCCGATCAAAGGATGAAGCCTACACCCCCTTACTCGAACCAACCCTCTTTAACATTCTCTCTGATACCAAGTGTAAGTTTAAAATTGAAGTGTAGGTTTGCAAGTGCAGGACCTGCTTTAATCACAAGCAAACCAAGAACAGTGGAATAAAAGAACGACAACAAATTTGAGATTATTTGGTAAACAAAAACTTTTATTGCTGGAAAATCTTAATTCAAGTTAGCCAAAACGTAGTTCCTATTTATACTAATTATGATTGAATCCTAAACAAACACAAAAACTTAATAAATTTTTTTCCTAAAATACTCTTGCTTTAATATCCGATTAACTCAAAAGATTCGTTTACTCGCCTCCACATGGTTAGGAAATTTCAATCATTTTACTTTGTTTATTTTAATTACTAGGTTACAACCATGGTAATAAAGCTAAAATATTTTTAAATTTTTATTAAATTAATAAGATTAAAGTTTTTTTATCTATTGTATTAATTGTTTAAAATTAATGTCGATTTATTTGAATATCCAATATATATTATGGATGTGAAGACATTTAATATAATTATTAGGCTCGAGAAAGTGGCTGTGGTTTCATACCGCGGTTCTGCCACATGGACCAAGAACAACACCCTTTGGGTGCGGTGAAGTGCGGTTTAGACTGCACCGTGGCGAGAAACAATCACTTGATTTGATTAGTGAGTGTGCCTTTTGACCGTTCAACGGACCTTTTTTTAGAAATTATTATTATTACTAGGTTATAACCCGTGGAAATCATGGTTAGTAAGTTTACAATTATTATATAAAAATGATATTTAAAACCAAGTCATGTTGAAAAAGCATAATGTTATATGGATTTTGTAGATTACTAAATCCACAAAAATAGTGTAAAATGTTAATGAAAAACTCTTAACTTATGTTATGTTACTAGAATTCTATTGGACTGAATAGTATTAGCATGATCTTTATTTAGGTGATGTTTGTTTTTTCTGAAGCAAAATGTCTGCAGTCTGCAGACCACATCTGTAGACCTCTGCAGTAGAAGAGGTGGACCAAACGTCTGCAGTCTGAAAAAAGAAGACTGTTTGTTTTTTTAACATCTGCAGGCTATTAAAATAAACTGAAATCTAAATAAACTGATTTTTTAAAACTTCAAAGCGAATTTTTTATATATCTTTACGACTTTATTATAAATATATAACGAATCTAGATCAGCTTTTATGTATTATTATATAAAAAATAAAAATAAAAATGGTATTAATTCATATACATATTTGATAAAAACCAACAACTTTGATTGCAAAGTTATAACTAAACATTATAATTAGTGATCAAAGAATTTGATACATAAATAGATAGAAATAAACTTCGATTTTTTCAAATAAATCTATTAAAAACGTACGATAAATATTTTCTCGAGAAATTGATGATACTCTATTAAATAAAGTTTTACAAAATTTTGGCAAAAAAATATAATAATATATTATGATTTTTTTTTCATATTTATATAAACAACTTCAACGACTATTATTATAATAAATTTTTATTTATAAATTTGTTAAAAATATCATGTTTGTATCGTCAAATGTTTTTTTTTTAAGTTTTGTAATTTTTTTTCATATTGTTTATCATTAATAAAGTTGGAAAAAATATAAATTAAAAAAAAAAACTTAAAAAAAATAAAGATATATATGTTTTTTTAAGCTAGAAGATGTCTGAAGATGTTAGAAGACTCTGGTCCACATCTGCGCCAAGAAGAGGGCGCGCATACATTTTTTAGGTCTGCAGTCTTCAAAAAAACAAACAATCTGCGAAGACTAATGTTTGCGCGTGGTCTGCGCGGCGCAGACAGAAGACGTCTCGCAGATCTGCAGACAAAAAACAAACACTACCTTAGTGATACAAGTAGTGGCTGCCAAAGCATAAAGCTCATGCTGTAAAATCATATTAGAATTTAAATCAACTCGCAGAAGTAATGAAAGAAAACCGATGTGTATGGAAGAAAATACAGATTTATGTATATCTCGCATACTTGTTTAAAATTGTAGATATATTGTAAGTATCAAATAAAGAAAAAAGTTGAAAGTTGTATTCTATAGATCATTAATGGGCAATAAATATACAGAGAATTAGTGGATCGCTTAAAGGCTTGAAACACACTTTTAATGTAGAAAATACCATTAAGATATTGTATAAAGAAACTTACATAAAAAAGCCACCAACTCCGGCTCCATTACTACAACACTTGTTGTTGGGCTGCAAGAAATGAAAGAAGTCGAGAACTACATTTTTATAAATAGATAAAATGTTAGAAATAGCAACATACTTTTATTGTGATGTTAATTATAACATCATACTTTAATTTCTTCATATTAGAGCATTGTACTTGGAGAATGCTACCCACCTGAAAGTATGATATTACAGTAAAAAGAAATGAAAGTGAGATGTTATAAACCTAATAACTGAGTTGAATTTTTCAAAGTATAATGCCTTAAAAGAACAAAGAGTAAATTACATGAATGGTCCCTTTGATATGGGGTAGTCTTGCATTTAGGCCCTAACTATTTTTTTTTTAACTCGGATGGTCCTTAATTTGGTTTTGTGGCATTTTTTATCCCTACTAATATTAAAAAGACTATTTTGCCCTTTATACTACTTTTTGATACTTTTTTTACTATTTATGTTAATAAGTGAAACCTCCCGTCATCGCCACCACTAATGTTATTCATATTAATGAAAGTGCCACATGTTCCAAATAACTAAAAGTTCAAAATCAAATAAAAATTTACCTTCAAAATTCACTACTTCCTCGGGATAAAAATAAAATAATAATGTAACTCTAATGCAACATGCCATATATATATATATATATATATATATATATATATATATATATATATATATATATATATATATATATATATATATATATATATATATATATGTTCAGGTTCATTTGAGACCATTCTAATTTTGTGAGACCGTGAGACCAAATCTAAAAATAATTTTAAAATGCAAAATAAATGGAAAAATCTAAAAATTCATTTTTTAAATATTATTTTGGGAAATTGAATTAACTAAAAAAAATTTTAAAAAATTAAAAAAACAATAATAATAAAAATTCTGTTTTTTTTAAATAAATGAAATATTCTGAATACAATATTACACTGACATATTCTAAAAAATAATTTTAAAATGCAGAATAAATAGAAAAATCTAAATATTCTTTTGTTAAATATTATTTTCGGAACTTGAATTAACAAAAATAAAAAAATAAAAAAAAATTTTCAATTTTTTTTGAAAAATACGTGAAATATACTAATAAAATATTACACTGACATATTCTAAAAAATAATTTTAAAATGCAAAATAAATGGAGAAATCCAAAAATTCTTTTTTTAAATATTATTTTTGGAACTTGAATTAAC